ATTTTACTATATGCATTTATATAGTATAATTATTTTTATCTACCATATATGTTGTCTTTATAGAAGTGTGTATGTGTGTGTCTGTGTGTATATGTAACGGCCCCAGAAATTAAAAGAAAATGTATATATTTATTCTAAATGCGGAAGCGAAATAAAATAAATTATAATTAACATCCATTACACAATAATCAAAACGAATTAAACGTATGAAAGAATAAATTAATTTAAAGGAAATACTATAAATGAATGCTATAAGGAAAACTAATAAATTCTTTGGCTTCTACTCGCCGTCTTCTTGCAGAACGAGTTCGGGAACCAAGTCCTCCTGATGTAAAATGGTTAAGTAAGGAATGAGTTACACTAACCCAGTAAAAACATCACACTATCTCACTGTCACAGAAGTAAAGGTTGGTAGAAAATAAAAACGACCAATGGAGCATAATTTATAACAAACTCATTTATCAATAATAAAAACCTTTACTGTCCACTTCCTTCAGTGAGATTCATAAAAACAACTTATGAGAAATAATAACATCATAAATATCATAAGATCATGCACACTCTGTAACATAACACATATCATACTTTTATATTTCAATCATCAAGCAACAAATTTTCTCTTTTATCAGCCTATTAGTATCCATAGGGATTCATAGGGGTCCCCGTTATACGTGAACCATTCACATTAATAACTTAATTCCAGGGTTGCCCCTATACCCCGTCCGGTATGAGCGCCAAAACCATAAACCTCAATACATCATCCGGTATGAAGGTGAAACGGGCTGTCCCTATACCTCGTCCGGTATGGGCACCAAAACACATAAAGTCTCCATACCCCGTTCGATATGAGAGACCACATTCCCGATAAGGTTCCCTATGGACCCGGTCTGTCCATCATTTCCCAGGATATCTAGTCAGGCTGTCAACATTATCTATCTATTAATTCACATATCTTTTTTCATTTTTCTTAATTTCAATTATCTAATCAAATATAAATACGTAAACTAGGACTGGACACCAAACAAGGCAACACAACATCGGGTTCACAATAATTCAAACCATAATAAATGAAACCGTGATTTATGCATTCAAAACTATAAAATAAATAGATCACATACCATAATATATTTACAACTGTAAAATAAATTAAACAAAAACAGACCGACAAATACATCAGGTTCGGGCCCCATTAGCAATCTTAATTAATTATACATATCCATTAATTCATAGAATACCGTTTTATCATTTATTAAGCTTTAATGCCGTGATAGAAAATAGGGTGAGAGATCCTTACTTGTTTCGGAGTCTGAAATCGGGTTCTCACTGCGCCTAGCCCGTCCTTAGATTCCTTGAATTTTTTTCTGGAAATTGAAACACACTTCCAGTACTTGTACATGTCCCCAAAAAAACCCCAAATCAGACCTAGGGCCATTTCGACCAATTTTGGGATTCCGGCACGGTGGCTCTGCCGTGCTCCAGCGACGGTGCCGCCGCCCACGATGGCGATCCACCTTGGGTTGGCCGTTTTTGGCCGAATTCGGCAAAACTTACATTGTTTCCTGTGATAAAACACCTATAGGGCCCTCGGTGGGCCAAAAAATTCTAAAAAATCGAGACTTACCGGCGGTGAAGCTCTTGGGTACGACGGCTCCTCCGGCACGAATTGCAATTTGGTGTTTTGCTCTGGTCAACCTCTAGAGAAAAGGACGGTGGTCACAATGGTATAAAAATTACATCGAACGGAAACCGGGAAGGGCCTCATCGGAGGCAAAAATCGAAGAAACCCGCGGCGGCGCCGCTGGACTTCGGCTGTGTTTTCCAGCCAATCGGCTGGTGGTTTAGCTTCGATTTGGCCACCTGGAGGTTCAGCATCAAAAAATGAGCCAATGGGAGAAATTTTACCTCGTTTGGCGGCCGAAAAATCCTCCGGTGCGGCGGCGAGTGACTGCGGCCGGTTCCTCCGGTGGCTGGGTCGTCTTCTCCGGCGAGGGTTCTAGCAGCTAGGGTTTGGGGTGGGTGTAGATGCGATTATTTATAACATTCCCCTTTTAATCTGAGTCATTCATCATGATTTAATCTGAACCGTCCGATCGCGATTAAATTAGAAATGAATCTGTACCGTCCATCGCGATACAAACTGGACCGTCCGTGCGTGATCAAATCTGGACTGTCCGCACGCGTGAGATCTGGGCCGTCCATGCGCGCTTTTGATCTGGGCTGTCCGTGCGTGCGGGAATGGATCTGGGTTGTCCGATCGCATGCACGCGGATCGCCCACGTGTATCCGTCCCGCGTGGCTTTCCGCGTCAGTGTCCCTGCCACGCGGCTTGTCCTGGTTGGCCGGGACTGCTGACCGGGCTGCTGACGTTGCACTATTTTTTTAAATTACGTTTTGACCCCTGGTTTTCGATTTTCTTTTCAAAAACACCCCAATAATCCAAAATTTCACCCATTTTTCCTAAAATCAATTTCAATTAAATTCCAAAAATAATTTTATCTCATTTTATTATTATTATTATTTTTATTTCTATTAAATTAAATTAAATTAAATTAAAACCCTATAAATTAATTATTAAAATAAACAAAATTCTAAAATAAAATAAAATATAAAATAATAAAAGAAATTTTTTTTGGGTGTTACAGAATATATATAGAAAATAGTAAAATTAAAAATAGTATTAGTGTGTGTTAGTGTGTGGTTTTTCCATTACATGCACTATATTTTCTTCATCTTTGATGCGATAATGTTGCATCCTTATGATGGTAACTTGTTTTCAAATCTTTAAAATAATGTCACAAAATCTTCCGTAGTTACTCAAAGCTACTCCTTAAAGTTTCGTTCCTTCTAACCTATCTAGAGATTATTTTTCTTTCAGTTACTTTAGTGTTTGTTCCTATCTCCATCTTTCTATTGAATCATGAATTAATTCATCATTTCATTCCGATCTATTTAGTCAAACTCAACTAGAGACTTAATAGTCTTTTTATTGTTTTAATTAGTAGTATCAAGATTTCATATTAGAGTATTTTAATACACCACTATAGTCGTATATTATATTCTTCTTTAGGGATCATTTGGTATTTTTTATTGTTATGATATCTCTTCTTCTAGCACTAATGTGACAGGTATTCCTCTCTTTCATAATTTCATAATCTTTTTATTTATTCAAACCACAATTTATTTTAATACATTTCTATAAAAGCCTCCAAAATATTGATATTAGATTTGTTACTTTATGATATGTATATCATGTCTGTCTAAAAAAGAAAAAAAAACAAATGACCTTGAAATTTTTCTAAGGGAGAGTCATTGACATTTAAATTTGTTAAGAGTTTTTGAGAGAAAAAAAATAAAAAATAAAAAATATAGAAACTTTTAGAATGTTGTAGTCGTTGTATATTATAAAAGTGGTATGAAGATTTAGTTATCTGCATTGTTATAAAATTTACAACTTAAGAATATTGTTATTATTTATAAGTTTAGTTTAATAGTTAATTGGAACACTTTCACTACATAAGATGATGCAATTTATTACATGAGTAGCATGTACCTACCTAAGTATAGTGCTTGAATAGTCATACAGACTTATGTGCTACCTAGTAAGATGGCTAGGTGTCTACGTAGCATGTTTACGTACTTAATTATAAGCACTTGGTAATTAAGCAACTATTTTACTAAAGTATTTGAATTGTCACATAATATTAAATATAATTCACTATAATGTCTGGATAACTATATAATACTATGTGTTATCAAATGACTCGTTATCACGAGATACTATTTAGTTAAGTATCTAATTAGATCATTATTATTAAGTAGTAAATAATCATGATAAATAGTTGAGCACACATCAATTATATATATATATATATATGATATAGTTTAGTTTTTACTAAGACATCAATACCAATTTTTGGTATTAATAACTATATAAACAAAGTGTATTTAGCGTAAAATTTACACGAGTAAGTAATTTTTATTTGTTGCCAATACGGGCGTACGTAATTATTAGCTCCAACCCAAGTACGCATAAAGGATGTTATGCCATTGTGCCAAAGGCTCAAGGAGGTGTTTGGCAATAAGTACTTAATATGGAAAAGAAGCAAGATATATGCACTTGAGGGTCACATGTGCACCATACTTATAGTTGTTGCCACAGAGTGTATACCATGGATTTTTAATCTTATTTCTCTTCTTCCTTCTCTACAGAATTTAAGAATGAACGATAACAAATTGCAAATTTAGGGTTGATCCTTGAGGGTCCACAGCAAACCATAGAATGTGGATCACCCTACTTGGGGCTTGTTATATACAAGAGATGTAAATAGGTAGGGGTGATTTTGGACTGTTAGGGAATTCTCCATAGAGAAAAGATTTATGATCCTTTTTCTTTCTTGGCTATTGTAAAAAGAGCAATGCCCTATTTTTGTCAAGGCACAATCCCTGGCTATAATAATGAAGCACTGTATAAGAACTGGTTGACAAAAATTGCTTCAATAAGAGATGAAATGGGAAACTGAGTTGACCCCATGTCCTCCCATGGTGGGGTAAATTACCCATTTGCATGGATCTATAAGACCACTCTCCTGGACCACCAATTTAATTAGACCTCTCCTTAATCTTTTTATTTTGACGTATAGATAGATTTATTTGATTATCTAAATAATATATATACAGTAATTATAATACTGTTTTGTGTATTTTTGATCCATGAAATACTTTTCTTAAGACTAATTCCTTGATGGACTGATTAAAAATTAGCATTATAAGATGATGATGAACTGCTAGTTCAGACCAACAAGTGTTATAAATGTTACCGTGATGTACAGTGTATTCTTCACCTTCTATATTAATTTCATGCTGCTGGTATCAGCTTCAGCATTTTAAGTCAACTTTTCTCTCTGTGTTTCTCTATCTCTCTCCATCTCCTTTAAACATATATATGTATGTGTATACGTATATAACCCATAAATTATAAAGAAGAGAAGCTTCTGGCAAACATGGTACAATCCAAGAAGTTCAGAGGGGTTAGACAGCGTCACTGGGGCTCCTGGGTGTCTGAGATTCGTCACCCTCTACTGTAAATATACGTACATATATATATATATATATCCCGCTCACTCACTGTATAATTATATATCAACCAATCTGGTTTCCTGATTTGTTTGAATTGGTTTCCTAATTTGTTTCGAATGTAAATTAGGAAACGGAGAGTATGGCTTGGGACATTCGAGACAGCCGAGGAAGCAGCGAGAGCATACGACGAGGCAGCTATTCTGATGAATGGTCGCAGCGCAAAAACAAACTTCCCTGTTTCGACTGCCGGAAACCCATCATCGGCGAGCGAAAATTGGAACATACCTCCTCCGCCGTCGGCGTTGTCTGCAACCGTAAGCCAGAAACTTAGCAAATGCCGGAAATCCTCATCGCCGTCTCTGACGTGTCTGAGGCTGGACACTACGAGCTCCCATATAGGAGTTTGGCAGAAGAAGGCCGGGTCTCGCGCTGACTCGAACTGGGTGATGACAGTTGAGCTTAATGTAAACAGATCATCAATGGAGGGTAATAATAATAATAATAATAATAATAGTAATACGGTGGAAGTTTCACAGTCGGCTGGTGGGGAAGAAGGGACTAATGGTGGCGGTAGTGGATTAGGGGAAGAAGAGAGAATTGCGTTGCAGATGATCGAAGAATTGCTTAATGGGAACTGATCAGATCAGATCAGATCAGATGAGGAGGAGTTGATCATGTTTGAATTCTTCAAGATTTGTGCGTTTAATTTGTTGCAATGAGTTCATAATCAGGGGGAAGCTTCCCTAATCGTCAATTTACATATATATATATATATAAACCAATCGTGTATTAAAATGTGTAATCTATTTTAATTACCATAAAGATTGATGTTATCTTTACATATAAGAAATCAAAGTGTATATGTTTTCCGGGGAAAGTAAGTATAAATAAATAGGTTTATTTTGAATCCACCTCTCTTCCTATATCTTACCTCAAGACTAGCAATGGTGATTAATACATTTTAAATGTTGGTGATTAAGTATAAATTTATACATTTTGTTTATTAAATAATATATAAATAATAATTATAAATAATTTTTTATAAAAAAAATACTTATAATTTAACTAATATTTATGTGCTATATATAACTTATTGATAATTGTATTTCAATTTCTTTTTTTTTTTTAAAAAAAAAAAAAAAAGAAAGAGCAAAATGAGTAACGCCCAAGTGAATAATTATTCCACGTGTTTATTGGAGTCTTTTGGTATTTGGTCACGTTCTTTTTTCCTATTTGCACGTGCTCATTACCCTAATCTTGAACATGAGTTTTGCAAACATTAATTGAAAGGAAAATTAATTACGCACCCAATAAATATTTCCTTAATTAAATTAAATTGATTCTAACCTCAAATTATTAGCTATATGTATCTACGTGTGTGTGTGTATGTGTATATATATGTATATCTACGTGAGTTTGTGTGTGTGTATATATATGTATATCTAAGTGGGTATGCGTGTGTATATATAGATATAGATATTGTGACAGCTGACAAATAAGGGAGTCGATTATGATTAGCGTGTGAAACATTCTGTTAATGACTAACAAAAAATGAAGTAGAAATTTGCTGCTATTAATTGATAATCCCAATGCACTGCCTTAATTTCGGTAGTTCATAGGTTACCATAATCAAACTATGAAAAAGAATTATCAATCTCATTCTTCCGTATACTTTTTGCTCTACGAATTAATTAATTTAATCATACATTTAATTTAATTTGATGAATTTCTACATAAGAAAATATATAAATTAAACTATTTCATAATGTTCTAAACTAGTAATGAATTTTGGGATGAAGTTAATACAAAAGTTGAGTTCTTGTTCATCAATTTAAATGTTTTTTTTTTAAAAAGATTTATCACAATAATAAATTTAATTCTCTTGTTTTTTTTTTTTTTTTTTGAAAAATATTTTGTTCGTGTGTATATATATACATATATTCAAATAGATATAATTTTTTAATGTAATATATAATAATTAAAGTGGTAAGAATCAATTATTTTAGTAATTAAGTTAAAAGAGTTAGTTGGAAGAAAATAGGGAAATGCATTTTAATATGAGTTTGGTAAGTTAACCTTTCGTATTTCCTTTTTAGGTTGCTCTTCTTTTGTATTTAGTTAACCTTTCAATACCATACTAACTCCCATTGATTCATATGCCGGCACCAATTTGGATTTTCCAAATTATTATACAATTCCCACTTTCTCTATTTTAATTTCAATATCAATATAAATATATATTTTAAAATTTACTGTAATATATTTCGAATAAATATTAGTTACAATTCGTTTTAGATGATTAATTAATTTTTTTTTTTTACTGAATAGTTGGTATTTTATTTTTTTTATTTTTATAAAAGATTACGCAATTATATGTTTCTATATGTTATTTGAAAATTTTAAATTATTATATAATTCTCTTTTTTTTTTATTTCTATTTCAATATCTTTTGAATAAATATCAGTTATAATTCATTCTAGATAATTAATTAATTTTTTTATATTTATTGAATAATTAGTACTTTCATTTTTTTTTTTATAAAAGATTACGAATTTGAGTAAAATTGTATATTTTTATATGTTATAGTTGGTTTATATGTATTGAATTGTATATTTATGTATCTAGGTGGTTGAATATTTTGTTGGAAAAATAACTAAATAATTAATTTAGTTTTGGAAATTTGGTTAAAGCTAAATTTTAGTATTAAACAATTTTTTTTTTTTTTTTTTTTTTGTGGTTACAAAATTTGTGTTTAAATATGTTGAAAGTAGATGATTAATTTGAATTTTATTTGTTTAATTACTGAAAGTTAATTTGAAATGAAAAGGGTCTAAATAAATAATTATTTTTTATTTTCTTTTATTGACTTTGGGACTCGGACGACGCTGGGGGATGAGAAGGCGGTGAGGCGGAGAGGAAGTTGGGTGGTTTCCGGCGACTCCAGATTCTCCACTTGCTCTTTCTCTCTAAGCTTCCATCTAGTGAAGAAGAAGATCAACAATTTAACTATTTTGTATTAAAAAATTGGGCAAAAGAGCTTCTACTTACCTTCATTTTCACTCCTTCAATCCCGTCCCTCAAATTGTTAAACCTAGCTGATCTCTCTTTTCTCCCGTACATTTTCTCTCTGAAACAGAGAAAACGACGGGCATTTCCTCATCACCGGCGACGAAGAATCATCGCTAGAAATAGCAAACACAAGTCGCTTTCAACTCATCGCAGACTCAGATCCCGACGTTTGATCAGCTACATGATTTCCTCAACAAGATTATGCTCCATAGTGCATTCGGAGGAAGAGGCTTGCGGCAGCTAGGTCGGTATCCTGTTTGAGTACCTCTTCTAATCCTGTTTTAGAATCTAGGTCTGGTAATGCCAATCATCCGTTAATTAATGTGAATTGTTTCGCATGCCTATCTTGACCAGAGGAAGAAGACACGATAATGAAACAAATAAGCGATATATCGTCTGAGACGAAATTTCAGTATCTTTCTTGGATTTCACGGCTGTGCATAGCTGGTGTAATGATATGAGACAAAGCTAGAACCACAGACAAGGAGGGATGACAATGGATCGGATTCCGGGTTGATAGAACCAAGTTCTGAACCCGGATCCGCTCTGAACCGGTGCGGGTTTGTTGTTTGAATTTATATCGGGCCGGATTACCCGCCCTCACCCAACCCGCGCCAAATCTGGTGAAATGGTTTCCTTCCTGCTCTTCTTGTAAAAGTGAGTGGCCTTCTATAGCTGCATGCTATCTCCTCCTTCATGGACGTCTCCTAATCACCTCTGTCTTCTCCTTTCTCCTCTCCTGTGCTTCTCATTCCCACACATGAACCAGAACGTCGTCTCCCTTTTTCTTTTTTTTTTTTCTTTTCCTTTTTTGTTGGTCTTGTCGCTCTGTTTCTTTCTTTCTTTTTTTTTGTTTGCAAGATAAGCATCGGAAGCTGTGAACTATTGAACCCTAAATTGAAGAATAAAGAAAGAAGAACAAGAAGCGAAGTGGAGAAATGAAGGGGGCTGCCGGCTAGGGTTTACTTTGTGGGAAGTCACGTTCGGACGGGTTTGGAACCCCAATCCGAATACCGCCCGCCCCAGATCCGATTTTTTTTGAAAAGCGCACTGGGTCAGTTTCGGATCGAACGGATAATGCGAGTCCGGATGAGTCTTACGGATCCGAGCGGGTCTTGTCATCAATACAGACAAGGTAATATTTTTCTCCGATTTATTTGAGGAAGACAGAAAGTTGACTTTAATGAGTAAAATAACTCTGATGTAAGAATATATATTTCTAATACCATGGAATATGCTGCAGAAGCCCTAATTCAAGGTCCCAATTTTGTTTATTACTATTTGTATTTTCTGAAGATTGAGTGAAATTTGGTAAATGGTTTTGTCTTAGAGCAACCATTGAACCATCTGAATAACAAAGAGAATATTTAGAATTATATTCTGGAATATGCTGCTTCAATTGCTGTTATATATACTGTTTATATTGTGTCATAAACATGTTTAGTATAGCTTGACAATTATGTTATATAGGAAAAAAGAAATGAAGAACGGGAAGAGACACCGGGCAGAGGTAGCAAACAGTTTGCCAGAATGGGAACGAGAGTTCATGAGTTACAAGGCATTGAAGAAACAAGTGAAGTTGATTCATTATCAGCTTCAGAGTGGAAACAATACCTCAGGAATTGGCAATGGAGATCGTTCAAATGGAGGAACCGATGATCTGGGTATTGGGTTCAGTCAATTGTTAGATAGTGAACTTGAAAAGGTTAACAAGTTTTATGCTGATAAAGAGGAAGATTATATTATCAGATTGAAGGTATTTATTTCCTTTCATAATCCTTGATTTTCTCAACAGCTCTAAAATCTCATGAAATCGCTTTGATTAACATTTTGTTAATCAAAGAATTAAAAGAAAAAAAAAAAGAACAGGGATTCGTATATTTTTTTGCCTTAAGTGTTGGGCTTTTAGCAAAGAACAAAAGAGAAAGCCCTCTATTATATTCATATGCATTCAATAAATTTTGATGCCATTTATATATAGCAACCAGATGGACATAACTCATTTTTCACTTAGAATCTAACTTCTTTTACCCTCAATTTATTTTACTTTTCCTCACATGGCCTAATTTGTTTCCTACAAGGAATTAGTATACCTACATATTACAAAATAATACTTTGTTTGAAAAGCTTAAGCATAAAGCAAAAATGTCAAACTTTAACATCCCTGATCCTTGGTATTCTTGTTAGAAACACCAAGCATGCTCTAAGTGTTTCAAATATGGTATTTGACAATCTTCGATTCAGATAACTTTGAGGTATTTTCAAGTTTGGTAGACTTCGGCTGAACAAGGTTGAACCTTTTTTCATGTCTTCTAAGTACCTAGTGTCTCTCGTTGGACAGTCATCATCACTAATTTCTGAATTTAATATCTCGTCCTCAACTGATGTATCTTCTTCTTGAATAACATCACTCAAGATGAAATTGTTACATCAAATTCTTGATATCTACATTTTCCCTATTCAGGTGGACAACTTCATCAATCTTTACATTCCTATATACAATCAACTTTTTAGTTTGGATGTTGAAAATTCTAACCTCCTTTACATTATTGCTATAACCCAGTAGAATACTGACTTATGCCTTCTCGTATACATTATGGTCTTCAACTGAGACGTTGAAGGCTTTAGAGACTTCAAAGACCTCTTGTTTTTGGTTCAAGAAATACACCCAACACATTCTTGTAAGGTAATATAATATTTTCTTTCACTTAAGGAACAAATACTCGGGAGTTATATAATTCTGCGTCAGTGAACTGCAGCTTGTAGCTCTCCGTGCTTTTATGTTTTGGAAAAGGAAACTTGCCCTTTTTTTTCCCTCAACTTCACAGGTTCCAAATACTCCACAATTTTCTCCTGTAAGTAGGTATAATTTTGCACCAAACCCTTGGCACTTCAACTTTTAAGGGATTGTGAATGGAAATGCCCAAACCTCTTATGCAAGTCTACTATTTCCTCCAAATGACAACCATACCTGAACTTGACTCATGCAAAGAAAAATTTCTGTTGTTTGTTGTAACCTTGAGTAACTCCACTGCTACTATGGTCATTCATAGTACAATACATATCGTTAAACTACAAGGAATGATTTTGTCTAGCATTTGATCCACACTTATCTGATTTTTGCCAAATTTGAGAATATACAAGAAATTGGAAATGATTTCGGTATGTTTTAGAGTGCACAAAACTATATTGTCTTACTTTTCACATATAGTTATTTTCCACCGTCTATCCTCACTCTTGAGCAATATGAGGAGTGAAGGGTCTTGAATGTGGTTGCATCTGAGTCATATGATAACTACAGACACTGTCAATAAGCCTAGCTTCACTTAGAGAACTAGTTGACTAATAAGTGCCACAAACAGATTCTCCTCTTTCTGCTCCCAGTTCTCAACAACTTGACCTTTGGTTTTTTCTTGTGTTTCTTCAGAATGACATATTTTTCAATGTATCTAAACTCCTTTCATAATCTGCCTTAAACCTTTTGCCTAAACCAACAATACTCCTTTGCATGATTATACTTTTTGTAGTATGGACATGGAAGAAAAATTTCTCTTTTGTCATTTACCTTGGTTCTTCTAGCTTCTTGCTTTTCCTATTTGTCAAAGAATTTTCTTCAACCTTGGCCTTTTTGAAGTTTCATTTCTATCCCTTACCACACAGAATTTTTTATGAGTTTCATTGATCCATCCTTAAGTATCTTCTTTGTTCACTGGCCTAAAGTGCATTCACAAGTTCTGTTAGAATTAAGGCGGAAATATATTTTTTGCTTCAGACCTCTTTCGGAAGGCCAAAAAGGAATAACCTTTTCTGCAAACCTTTTATCTGTTAATTCTTTACTTAACACTGTGATCTGATCTACAACTTTCCATACCTTATTTATGTACTTATTTAAAACTTTCGAATCACCCATCCTGAGGACTTATTTATAAGTAAATACTTGAAGTTTACTTATTCATATGCATCCAATGAACTTTGGAGCTACTTATAGCAACCAAAGTACATGACTTGTCTTACATACCATATGTTTCACCTACAATATAACTTTTTTACACTCAATTTCTTTCACTTTTCTTCATACTACTAGTTTCTTTTCGTACATACAATTAGTCAACAAAGACATTGCAAAATAATACTTTATTCATAAACTTAAATGTCAAACTTGAATATATGTTCCCAAAGAATATCAATTATGTTGATTTTTTCAGGAGATACAGATTAAGGTAACCAACCTGGTCAGTAATGAAGAGAAGTTAATAGTGCAGAAGGATATTTTAGATTTCCATGCAGAGATGGTTTTGTTATTGCATTACAGTGTCGTAAACTACACAGGTAAAATTTTTCATATTAAATAATTCCAAGTAATATAATGAATGAAACAATAGTTGACTCAAATTTTTTGAAAAGAAACTTTGAAAAGTTATAAACTTTGCAAGGTTTAACATGGGTGATTACATGAAACAGGACTGGTGAAGATTGTGAAGAAGCACAAGAAACGTGCAGGTGAGTCGATTGGCTGGGGTTACGCACCAAGGGTTTTTCAACAACCATTCTTCTCAACGGAATTACTCTACAAACTCATGAAGGAGTGTGAGGCAATGCTTAGTTTCCTCTCTGTCAGAGACGAACCTTAATTAACATCTGCTTGGAAATATTAAATGATTGAAGTGCCTTTACAAGATAAAGATATGAACTAATTTAAATATATGGTTTTGTTTGTGTTGTGTTATTAAACATAAGATGTTTATCAAATTAATATAGTTTAAAAGCTTGTATTATCTACTGCAACTTGTAGAAAGTTTACACATTCTCTAATCACATGATTTGAGAAATGGCCTAGAGTATTTGATAAATTTGCTACAAGATGAATCCTCCTTACTAGTGGGTGTTTCTTGATGATTATTGTTAATAGATAATTTATTAAGAGAACTTCCATGGAGTTATCATTTTCATGAGTCATCAACAAATGGATGCTAGTCATTGATGAAAATTTATAAAAAAAATGGTGGAAAATTTTGGTAGATTGTTGGATTGTAATATGTGCATAACACGGAGTGGAAGATGAAAATAATTCAATTTGATCTATTTGTACTTGAAAATTATATTACAGGTTAAATATTAAATTTAAAACATACATGTCAGTGAATTCTCAAATTAAAATTGTTTGAAAACACGAACACTCTATGCTATCTACGTTGAAATTAACTTTTGCTGTTCAACTTTTTGATTAACTCAACGCACGAATAAATTGATGTTTAAAATTTTTTCACAAAAGTTTAACAGAAAAATTCTCCAATTTTTCCTTTTGGTGTGCGGCTACCTTTTCTAATTATCTTCTACACACTTTTTCAATAAATATATCATATTACATATATATAGGTAACATGAGTAGAGGAGCTCCTTTTGGACTCTCTGTAGACATCTAAATTTATTTGGGTTTATCCATTTTTTTTTAACACCAAAATATTTACATATATATCTCGTATATATATATATATATTTATCCTTTTTAATTATTATTATTTAATAAAATAATTTTATAAACTAATTTAATTTTAAATTAAATTTTACAATAATTTTAATTATTATAATAATCACAAATATTATATTATTACACTAATAATACAATAACTAAAATATAAATATTAATTTTCTATTTTAAAAATAAAAAAATTTAATTTATCTCAAATATTAATTATATTGTAAAGATCCAGAACTTAAAAGAAAATAAAGACATGAATTAAATACGGAAGCGAAATAATAGAATTTAGGGTTTGCATTCCTTACACAATAATTTAAAATGTACAAGAGGATTACCAGAATGTCTTTTCTAAAAGAAATTACGAAAGACAAGAAAATAAACAAAAAAATCAATAACTGAGTATATTAGGACGACCTTTACTAGCTTCTGAAGGGAGTCAGAGTGATGAACTTATTTATAACCCTCTTGTTGATTGGGATCTTAATCTTGATCCTCTTAATTTGAAATAGTTAATGAAAGTTGAGCTACACTAGCATAATAAGAATATCACACTACTCACTGATACAAAAATTGAAAATAGTAAAAATTATAAAAATAACCAATGAAACTCTTGATTTAAGTAAATTTATTAATTATAAGGAAAAACCATTTATTACATATATTTAATATTGCGAGATTTCTAAAATCGACCTATAGAGATATAATAATTTAAATAACATTCCAATCTCATTTTCAAGTGAAAAATAGTAACTACTTTTCATTTTTATTTGTCTACTAGTATCATTGGGGCCCCATAAGGATATCCCACTATACATGAACCAATATTCAACATTATCAATTAACCGGTCATCCCTATATCCCGTTCGGTATGAGCACTAAAAATACTATCCTTTAATACCCCGTTCGGTATGAGGGTGAATCGGGTCGTCCCCATACCCCGTCTGGTATGAGCGCAAAAAACATCAATCCTCGATACCACGTCCGGTATGAGACAATATTCATAGTAGAGTTTCCTATGTACCCGGTCCATCCACCATCCCCTAGGATATCCAGTAAGGCTACAATTCATTAATTCATATGATCAAACAATTTTTCGTTTGCATATTAATTACCAATTTCACAAATCAATCGTAAATCATGTAAGACAAGTAATGTATATATATATATATATATATATATCAATGAAGCACAATTGAATCATTTAACCATCATAGTATATCATCATATATTTAAAGTTGTAAATTCAACAATCAATTAAACAGGACAATAAATAAATGATTAACCAGTTTTCGACTCTATTAGTAACCTGTAATTATTCTCAAATTTTTTAAATTATACAAAATACCATATTACCGATTATTGAGTTTCAATTCCATAACAGAGAATAAGATAAGAGATTCTTACCCGAATAAATGTCCGAAATACCAAACTTTCTATTGCGTCTATTGGCGGTCCCTAAATTTTCTGAATTTTCATGCAGAGATTAAAATACTCTTCACGTACCTAAAAATACCCTAAAAAATCCAAAATTGGTGTTAAAAACTTTTTCTGACCAATTTCAAAATTCCGGTACGGCGGTACTGCCGTGCTTCGGCGACGGTGGTTTGCTTTGGATTGGTCGTTTTTGGCCAATTTTGGTCGGTTTCGACCAGTTTTATACTCATCAATGCGAGAAAACACGTTAGGAGATCTCGGTTGGTCGAAAAAAATCAAAAAACAAAAATTTATCGGCGGCAAAATTTTTCGGTGCGGCGGCTCGCGGCTGAGTGTTTTTCTTCGATCAACTTGCAGAAAATAGAATGTTGAATATAATGATAGAAAAATCGCATGAAATAAAAAACGGGAAAGAGCTTATCGGAGGCAGTTTTGGGTTTGTCCACAGCAGCGCTACCGGATTTTGCTCGTAGTTTTCAGCTCATCCGCCGTTCTTTTTGCTTCAATTTGGCTATGGGGGTGTTTAGAATCAAATTTTGAGCGGATAGGAGAATTTTTACCTTTTTTGACGGTTGGAGGTGGCTCCGGTGAGGTGGGGCAGTCGACTTCCTTCTCTGGCGACTGATTCTTCTTCTCCGGCGGGAGGCTGGTTAGAGTTTGAGTTCGGTGTGATGCGAGATATTTATACCCGTCTCCCTTAAATTTGGATCGTTTATCTTGTTTGATCTCGACCGTTCGATCGCATTTAAAGAGAAAATGAATATGGACCATTCATCGCAATTTGATCTTGACTGTACGATTGCGTTTAAAGAGAGAACGAATCTGAATCGTTCATCGCACTTAATCGTGACTGTCCGATCGCACTTGAGGAGGGAACAAATCTGAATCGTCCACGTGCGCAGGAACGCATTCGGACTGTTCGATCCCGAGCATGCAGATTGCAGCGTGACTCTGCATGGCACCGAGTCAATGTG